TCCCTACACTAAATGATTCCGGAAAGTGAGGCAAACGCCCTAATAAGAACAAGACTGCAAGAAGATCCTCCTAGCAACAGTCCAACTTTCCAGCGTATTCTAACCAAATAAACTGGCTAAGGTGGCTAGTAAGTTAACGCGGGAAGGAGGATTCTCTGCGGGGCTCCGAGCTGCAGCGCTCGGCGCCTCCAGCACAGCACCCCGAGGGCGCGGCCCGCAGGGAGCGTAGCTCACGTCGGTGCTCGAGTCCCGGGGCCGCAGCCTCTGCAACGGCAACTGCGTGCAAACCCACAACAAATCTCTCCCACCGACGCTGTCACGAGCGCAGTGGGAAGTGGCCAGCGCGCCCCGCGGAGGTCAGAAGAAACCGCGGAAAGGAAGAGTGAGGGCAGGCGCGGAGCAGATGTCTTCGCCAGCACAGTGCAGCGCCCCGAGCGCTGCCCACCCCGGAGCGGCCGCTGCCCACGCACCTCGGAGTGTAAACACTAACAGACCAACGCCGCCCCCACAAGCCCGGGGGTCCGGGCGGCCGGAGCAACCCCCGGCCGGGAAACAGGCGCGGACCACCGCGCAACGCCGACAGGCACCGCGCAGCCTGCAGAGCCCTCGGCCGGAACGGGTGCTGGGCTAGTGGTGCGGCCAAGGGCGTCCCGGCGCCGGCGGCAGTGCCGCGGGGCCGAGCCGGCGCGTACCTTGGAGGCGATGTGTCAAGCGGAGATCCACCCGCCACAAGCTGGAGGCAAGCAGAACGAAGTTTCCCCGCCCCGCGCCCGGCGGCGGCGAGCTCCGGCAGCTGCTGCGCCGCGGCGCAACTACGCCATCCGGACCCGCCGGGGACTTTCTCCTCCTGCAGGGAGCTCAGGGAATCGCGCAGGGAAAGTGGCCGGGCACGAGAGCCGCCGACTTCCCTCCCTCACTCACTGGGAAGAGGAAAGCGCCGCTCGTCGTCCCCGAAACCCTCGATTACCCCCATCGGGCCGACCCAGCGCACTCGCTCCCCCTCACACACGCGGGCGGGGACGGGCAGGACGCCACAGCAATCAGCGTGCGGGGGGAAGGGCGCTCCTCCTCCGCGGTCCCCCCGGGAGCTCCGGGCCACGGAGAAACTCCTCCTCCCGCTGCCCGCCTCCTCTCTCTCTCCTCCCCCTTTTCCTCTCAGGCTGACGGATGAACCCTGAGCGCTGCCACAGCTTGCCTTTCCCCTCGGACCGCGGAGGGAGGGAGAGGAGAGGAGTACTGGGAACTGCTGTGCTGCTGTGCGCCCAGGCTGGGGCGTCGGGGAACTGGTCGCTGCAAGAGTTGACGAATGCTGTCATCAGTACGCCACTTTGATACTCCTTTTTTACACCCGGTTTGTCTATTAAAAGATATGCTTAAATCAAAGGGCACTGTTTTACCAAGAGGCTGGTGAAATGACTCTGGGCTGACAGGTTTCAGAGACCAGACTTCCAGTCCTGACTGCCCTTCGACGAGCTGTGGAACCTAGGACGATCAGCTTAAACTCTCCAAGTCTGTTTTCTCCTCTGTAAAATCAGGAGGTTGGCCTAGGAGACCTCTTCCAGTCCTAAAATGTTATGGTCCTAGGCCTTCAAAACGTTGGAGAGTAGAATGGGGAGGTTTCTGATATTATTACTTACGCAGTATTATTATTTGGAAAGTTACTGGGTTTCCCTACTTGGAGAGAAGAGGAAGTGTTTCTCCTCCTTTTTCGCTTGTACCTATACATACAGAACTCACCCAATTGGAGATAGTTTGACAAAAGTCAAATCATTATTGATCAACTGGATTCCTGCAAAAATCTCTAAAATGAACAATTCATTCCTTACCAATATTTATTGAACACTTACTGTGTGAGAGGCTTGAGTGAGGCCTTGGAGAAACCCATAGGCATAATGCCCTGTTGGAGCAACAGTCTAGGTAGAGTTAGCCTCAGCTGTGATACAGTCTCTCTAGATTCAAGGCCTTAGATTTCTCATAGACTCAAATGACATAGTATTCGTGCCTCAAATTGTCAAGTTTTAGTTTCAAGAGCAGACATGAACACGTGAGCTGTGTTTGGATATTTAATCCTACATTTAAACATATCAATCACGTTAAGCCTTTTGAATTTCTAAATAAAATGGCATAGAAAAAAAATGGCATAGAAGAAGAGAGAGAAAAACCAAGTCCTAGATAACTTCACAGTGTCTTGTCTTCAAAGAGTGATGAAGTAACTGTTCACAGTAGTCAGATTCTCAATAGTGTAACCAGTTATGTGTAACTCAACAGTGAACACTTACTCTGTGCCAGGCAGAGTTCTAAACATGCAATACATATGAATACATTTACTTCTCACAGCCCTATAAGGCTGTATACAAACTGAGGCCTACGTAGAAACCTACCTATACACTGAAGGCCTTACAACTTGCTAAGATAGTACAGCTAATAAGTGGGAAAGTCAGGATTCAAACCCACATCCATCTAGCTCTGAGCCCAAGTCTTCAGCCAACAGGACATACCACCTGTCATCAAAAGCTTTACATTATTGGCAAAATGAAAGATTTGGGGGTTTGTTTGGTTGGCTGGGATTTTTTTTTTCTCAAAACATCTTTAAAATTTTGGGCTATTTAATTATTTTCTGTAGATGATACGGAAAAACACAAGAAATTATATCAGTATTTGCAAAACCAACAATGTCTACATAGGTGTTTTCTCTAAATATTTACACTAATAATGTGATATTATTTGCAGAAATACAGACTCCTGAAGCATAGAGAAAAGGTTTAAAACAAACTAAAAATTCTTGTTCCCCAGCAAAGCTCTAGAAAAGGGGTTTCCCCTACATTTTAATAATGCAATATTAACTGATTTCTAGGGGGAATGAATCCTCTCCTTTCATTGGTCTCTTACAAATTAGGACTTTGTTCAAGTTATAGTATTTGTTACCATAAGATACAAACTTTCTTTGGTTCAAGGTGGTATCTTGGTCATTCGTTCCAAATTTTTTCAAAAAGAATTGCAAGCAGGGGGGTGAGATAAAGAGGTGCACACTATCTCACTTGCATAAAAACGTTTGACAGCAGAGCGTCAAATTTACTGAGGCTGTATTTCTCGCAAGGAACCACCCTTCCTATAGGTGTGGACCCACTTATTTATGACAGTGGCATGTCCCCAGATTCTGTTGATTAGCAGACTGCTGAACAAATTCATAAGAACCTGTTTGTGTTCCTTACAGAAGCAAAGACCTCAAAGTTCTAAAAGACTTTATCAGTAGAAAATCATCTGGTTGTTTTTCTTTTTTAACAAGTCCTCATATAGTACTGCATATGCTTTGCACTTTACAAATCCTAACTCATTAAACCCTATAACAGCTCTATCATCCTCATTCTACAGATTAGAGTGAGGATGTGACTTAGCTGTGACTCCAGAGCCCGCCCTGAACCTCCGCTTTGTGCCCCACAGGTGAAAATGAGCCCCCTTTCCCTCAGAGCGAGAGTCTTATATTTTTAAAGCTCAATTCTTTAAAAGTTTCAAAAGATAAAGTTTGTTGAGGAGAAATATGACCCTCGACCACCACATAAAAATCGATTCCTTTCACCCAAGAAAGAGAGGCGAAGGGACGCTAACTTCAAAGTTTGTCTGAAACAGCCAACATCTTGGAGGCAGTTGCGTAACTACTCTTAAGAATGTGTGACAGAACAAGAACCAAATGTTCCAAAATTGTTGTGACAGGATACTGGTCTACAAACTACAGCCTGTGCTCCTATTTTCTGCTCAGTTGACCTATTATTACAGACAGATTTAGTACTTTATTTCTAAAATTTGCCCATAAAGATTCTAATTCATACCTGTAGGTGTTTTATATATCACCATAACCTAAGGCCATAATCTAAAGCCACATTTTCTATATCTATATCCAAGATTAGAATATGGTTTTCACTGATAATATCTGCAGCCAGCAAATTTCAAATTAATGAGGAAAAGATACTGTCAGGTGAACCCGTTTGCAGAGCAGAGCCCAAAACAGACACCTGATTCAGGCTGGTGGATTCCTCAGAGAATTTGGAAATAAAAACCCAAAGCAATTTCCCTTACAGTAAGCCTGAGTTCCTGCACACTTGTCATTTCCTGTGCCTGTGCAGAGCCTCCAATAGCAGTTTCCACAATGCCCCTTTAATTTCCCCCTCAGTGGGTCTACTGACAATGCAGGAAACCTCACACCATTTCAAAGGAACAGCAACCTCCCCTGAGATCCCTGTGGTCTTAGCTCCGTAGGGGATGTGGCAGAGCCTCTGCTCTCCCTGCCTCAGGAGGAGGGGTTCCAGAGTGAAGGCTTCGTCCTGGCCCCCACCTCCATAGCTGCCCCGCAGAGAACTTTTGTTTTGGCCTGGAGAAGAGAAAAAAATCAAAAACGTTGTTTTGTGACGGGGGGGGGCAATAAAAGAAATGCTGAAACTCCACTTGTAAAAACACCAAAATTTAAAAATTACTATTGCCATTGCTATTGATCTTCTGTTATTAATGTTATTACCTTTTATTGAGCACTCTCTCTGGGCAAGCCCTTGTTATAAGTTTGGCCCTATAAAATTTATTTCCTAACATATTTTGCAAATGGTTAGTTCCACGTATTTGTTAAAATTACCTGCTATAACATTCCTTTAGGTTTTTACTCACCCAATGTTTTTTACCATGTAATCTAAGGAGGAGATTGCCTCAACTGGGTCCCGCAGACATAGTCTTTAGAATTCGGTAATAATTTCAATAAGAAATTTGTTTTCATTTTGTATTTTTGTTTTAATGGTAATATTAAAAAGCAGCATTTACCCTCTTTTGGCGGGGGAGGAGGACAGGGATAATTAAAAACCAATAGACTGGACTTCCCTGGTGGCACAGTGGTTAACAATCCACCTGCCAATGCAGGGGACGTGGGTTCGAGCCCTGGTCCGGGAAGATCCCACATGCTGCGGAGCAACTAAGCCCGTGTACCCCAACTACTGAGCCTGCGCTCGAGAGCCCATGAGCCACAACTACTGAGCCTGCGTGCCACCACTACTGAAGCCCGCCCCTGCCTAGAGCCAGTGATCTGCAACAAAGAGTAGCCCCCGCTCACTGAAACTAGAGAAAGCCCACGCACAGCAACGAAGACCCAATGCAGCCAACATAAATAAATAAGTTAAAAGAAAAAAAACCAATAGACTTTCCCATAATAAAAGACTTTTTTCTTAAGTTGATGTTTTTCGAAGTGGGAAATTCATTTCCAGAGATGCTTAAGAATTTTTTTTTCTTTTAAAGTGTCCTTACATTGTTAACATTTGCTGCAAAAATTTAAATTAAATTTTCCTTTACCATTTCCCCAGCTTACCCATATAATTTCTGGAAGATGTTAGCCTCTTTCATGAAAAATCAACCAATATTCATTGACATTTGCTAAGCCATATTAAGAGTTGAAAGATACATATAGAGATGACAGGAAACATGATAAAAAGATAACTAAGCAACAGAAAAGTATTATTTTTTTGAATTTTATTTTATTTGCTTTTTTATACAGCAGGTTATTAGTTATCCATTTTATACATATTAGTGTATACATGTCAATCCCGATCTCCCAATTCATCACATCACCATACCCCCCCGCCACTTTCCCCCGTTGGTGTCCATACGTTTGTTCTCTACATCTGTGTCTCTATTTCTGCCCTGAAAACCGTTGCATCTGTACCACTTTTCCAGGAGGAACAGAACAGTATTACATGTTAAGTATCAAATGTG